TCCTCCCTCTTCTGTTCTCCTTCCCTATTGATTGCACTTTTGAGGACAGGCAGAAATAGCCTTTTTGGCTCACATCAGACCTTTAATCTTGGGAACCTCAGACAGGAGTTTTGCAGGGAGGTTGGGAGTTAACACACTGCAAACGCGAAAACGTGAGGTCTAAAAGTTAAATGAAACGGAGGTGTTTTTCCCTCTCCTCAGAGCTGAACTGGGATGTGGAGCCTTCTTAGTATAGCTGTGCACAGAGATGACCTGCCAGCAGGTGACAGCTTCTCAGCCACTATGAGCTTTGGGTCACTCCCCCTACTGGAATTCGTCAGAACAGAGCACAAAACCTAATCATAGACCCTTATGGTTGAAGTGGTAGGATTTCCAGTACAACTTTGAATAGAAGTGGTAGGAGTGGGCATCCTTGCCTTGTTCTTTTTTTAAAAAAATTTTTTTTAAACATCTTTATTGGAGTATAATTGCTTTACATTGCTGTGTGTTAGTTTCTGCTGTATAACAAAGTGAATCAGCTATACATATACATGTATCCCCATATCCCCTCCCTCTTGAGCCTCCCTCCCACCCTCCCTAACCCACCCCTCCGGGTGGTCACAAAACACTGAGCTGATCTCCCTGTGCTATGCGGCTGCTTCCCACCATCTATTTTACATTCGGTAGTGTATATATGTCCATGCCACTCTCTCACTTCGTCCCAGCTTACCCTTCCCCCTCCCCGTGTCAAGTCCATTCTCTACATCTGCGTCTTTATTCCTGTCCTATCCCTAGGTTCTGCAGGACCATTTTTTTTTTAGAGTCCATATATATGTTTTAGCATACGGTATTTGTTTTTCTCTTTCTGACTTACTTCACTCTGTATGACAGACTCTAGGTCCATCCACATCACTATAAATAACTAAATTTCGTTTCTTTTTATGACTAATATTCCACTGTATATATGTGCCACATGTTCTTTATCCATTCATCTCTCGATGGACACTTAGGTAGCTTCCATGCCCTGGCTATTGTAAATAGTGCTGCAATGAACATTGTGGTGCATGACTCTTTTTGAATTATGGTTTTCTCAGGGTATATGCCCAGTAGTGGGATTGCTGGGTCATATCATAATTCTATTTTCAGTTTTTTAAGGAACCTCCATACTATTCTCCATAGTGGCTGTATCAAGTGACATTCTCACCAACAGTGCAAGAGTGTTCCCTTTCCTCCACACCCTCTCCAGCATTTATTGTTTCTACATTTTTTGATGATGGCCATTCTGATTGGTGTGAGGTGATACCTCATTGTGGTTTTGATTTGCATTTCTCTAATGATTAGTGATGTTGAGCATCCTTTCATGTGTTTGTTGGCAATCTGTATATCTTCTTTGGAGAAATGTCTGTTTAGATCTTCTGCCCATTTTTTGGATTGGGTTGTTTGTTTTTCTGATATTGGGCTGCATGAGCTGCTTGTATATTTTGGAGATTAATCCTTTGTCAGTTGCTTCCTCCTCGCTGGCTCACCTCACCGAGAGGTAAGAGGGGAGGCTGGCTTCATGGACTGCTGCCCCCCAGCCAGACTGGAGTCGGGGCCTTGCACAAAGTCGTCGTGAATCCATCACTGTATCTCTGAGCTCTGGGTCCTTCCGCAGTGCTTTCATTCTCAGGCGGTTCTCTCCAGTTTACATTCCAATGGCTTAGAAACCCTGGCTGAAAGAGAAGTCCTTTTTTCTTTTTTAAAAATTTAAAAATTTTATTTTATTTTAATTAATTTATTTTTGGCTGCATTGGGTCTTCGTTGCTGCGCACGACTTTCTCTAGTTGCAATGAGTGGGGGCTACTCTTTGTTGCGGTGTGCCGGCTTCTCATTGCGGTGGTTTCTCTTGTTGCAGAGCAGGGGCTCTAGGTGTGCGGGCTTCAGTAGTTGCAGCATGTGGGCTCAGTAGTTGTGGCGCACGGGCTTAGCTACTCCGCGGCATGTGGGATCTTCCCGGACCAGGGCTCGAACCCCTGTCCCCTGCATTGGCAAGTGGATTCTTAACCACTGCGCCACCAGGGAAGTCCAAGAGAAGTCCTTTCGCTAATGAGCAACGACCACATTTTCATCACTAACTCTCTGAAATGGATGCGTGCCCATCCCTGAACTGATCCTTGTGATTGTGGGCCCACCTAAGGTTCAGGGAAGATGGTAAGCTCTATGGGTGCTGATGGCCCACCCAGTTCATTTTCCAAGAGGAAACTGAGGTACGGTCGTGAGAAGGGGGAATGGACACTAGGTAAGCAAAGACAGCAGATGTGTGCTCCCAAATGGTGGAAAGGTGGCCAGTGAAAGCCTCTAGAATGAAGGGACCCCTGTTTAAAACCACGGAGTGTGTTTTGTTTGAAGAACAACAAACAAAAATCAAGGGGGCAGCACGGACTGGAGGTGGTAGAGGCAAGGAGATGGGAATGATGCAGTAATACATTCAGAGAATTTCAGTTTTCCAAATGCTGTCCCCTGTGTTTTCTTCTTTGAGCCTCCCTTGGACCACCTGGGTGGAAGACTCCACTCCAGTTTTCTCACCTGTAAATTGTAGATAGTATGTCTGCTGCAGAAGTGGTACCAGCAGCTCCCACTGTCACTAGGTCCAGGGCAATACATCACCCCTTGTTGGTTTCTCTTACTCTGTGCACACTGCTGTAAATGGTTCCTTTGTTAATGTCTCCTCAACTAGACTGCTTGGGTGTGTTAGCTGTGCCAGGCAGGGGCCTCGACTGGTACAACAGCATGGCTGGTTTGGAGTAGTGTGCAGTACAGCTGGTCCCCCAAACCAGGTGTTTCTCTGGGCAAAGCCCTGTCTCATCTCCTCCCAACATATAGAAAGGGGTTGTCAAATAACAGTTACATGAATCTTGCAGCATGTTGGCCAAAAGTCAGCAGGAGAAAGAAATGAATTGCAGGCTATTTGTCACTAACAGGCAAGCCAATCAAGCCCCTTCATGATCTGTAATGCAAAGTTGGCTTCCACAGGAGACATTTATTTTAGCTTCATCACTCCTTCCTCCTAATGATGGTTACTCTGCAAAATGCTTCTCATAATTTCCTTTTTAATTTTTTCTTCTTGGCAACTGCATCCTCTTGTCGGTATCCTCTTTTATGCCAAGAGCCTCAGAGATTCCAACCTTTTCAGAAGACATATGACTCTATTAATTACTCTCTGAAATGAGACTTCTGAAACTCAGCTGTAGAATGAAAGAAGAACCTAAGAAATATCACAGGAGGATGAATGAATGATTCTATCCAAATAGACACTAGAAAGTCAAGGTGAAGACACTTTTCTAACAGCAACATTCAGAGGCCACTGATTCCATCCATCTTTCCTTCCTTTTGTCCTTCCATCCATTATATATTTATCCGTTGCTAGGGAATTAGACTGGGCTCTAAAGAAACAATAGTGAGCAAGACAGATATGGTCTCTGCCCTCCCAGGTCTTATGGTGCAAAGGGGCACTTGGAAAATTAAACAGCCACAGTGTAGTATGATCCGTTTTAAATAGGTACAAGACATTCATTATGTGAGCACATTAACAAGGGGACCTCAGGCAGTCCAGAAGGGAGGGCCAGCACGAGCTTCCTGGGAGAAATAATGTTTAAGCTAAACCTGGAGATGAGAAGGAATTAGCCAGGTGAGGGAGGAAGCATGCACCAGGCAATAGGAACAGCATGAACAAAGGCTTCAACGTGGGGGTCAGATACAGATGGCTTTCTATATCTCATTACATTTCCAATTGTACCTTGTGCAGCTGGTCTGCCCTTGAATCTGGCTCTGACTACATCACCGTAGTAGGCTCCAAATCCTTCAGCTCTGTTCCAGTTTATCTTCAGTCCATATCCTTCTCACTTTTGTCAGAGCACCTCCCCGCAAGTACATCTGGTCAGACATACTGTGGCTCCAAGTCCCAACTCCTTAGGCTACTGTTTGAGGCTGTTCGCGTTTTGTCTGTAACCATCCTTTGTAGTTTAAATCTCACTACGCTCTCAGCTCACTATTCTCGTCACAGCTTTGAGCCTGGCTTCTGCGCCCTTGGTTGAGCTCTTCCTTTCACCTGCACTGTCCTCATCCTCTCCATATCTGTGTGAGTCAGGCTTCCAGCACATTCCTGCTGGTACCCTCAAATGAGGCAGCTCAGAAGGATTAAAAAAGAGACTGCGTGCTTACATAGATGTTGGCAGGGTTGAGGCAAACCAGCATGAGATGGGACGGTCCCCACAGCTACTCCATGACCACCTCCAGACCAGAAGGGGCAAGAGACGGAGCAGTTACCGGAAACACAAGGAGGGGCTCTATGGAGAAGTCTCACACCCCTCCACCCTCCCAGTACCTCTGAGGTCATTGGCCTAATCCAACAAGAAGCCACAAGGCAAGGTCACCTGTTAATGGCATCCACACAGGTCAGCTGCCCTGGACCCAGATCAGGGGGGAAAGGAGTGCAGAGAAGACCTGGAGAGATAAACAAAGAATAAACAAAAGACCACCCCCCTTCCCGACTGCTTTCACCATTCATCTCAACCTTTTGAAATAACATCCACTAATTGAGACCCAATATGGATGCCAACTCATCCACGATTCCTCCCACCTATGCCCTTCACAGCCCTCCAGCTGGACGCACTTTTCCTCACCTCTGAATGTGCCAAGTGCTTTCTCAGGATCTCTGTCATAGTACTTCTCATTCTGAACCTCACTTCCTCATAACTTATATGCATGGGTCTTAGGTTGGGTTCCCCCAAAGCAGACTCGGACATGAGATTTTTGTGTCAAGGTGATCCATTAGGAAGTGTTCCAGGAGGAACCGGTAGGGAGGCGGGAAGATGGATGGGAAGGGAACCAAGGTAGGGTATGACTCACTGCTGCAGGGGAGGTTGGTCTGGGGGTCAGTGCACAGCTGGCTTCAGAGTTGACCCCATCAGAGGCAAGGGGCCAATTAGATGGATTCCCACACAAGTCAGTCATTGGCGAAGGACTTCGAGTTCTCTGAGCTCTCAGGCAAAGTGGCTCCAGCAGCCTGTGGTCAGACCTTAACAAAGGGACGGAGGGTCTGGCTGTTGAATATGGCTGCTCACTGGGATCAGATGTGGACAAAAGTGGTAAAGAAATTGAAAATGATGGGGAGAAGCACTGACAGGTCTTTTATTACACACATCTTCCCTCCCTCCTTGGATACTAACTTCTCTAGGGCGAGCAATGGAGTCTTCTTTGTAACAGCACATATATCTTTATAACATCAAACACCAAGGCTGGCTTCATGGGTGTGACATATGTAATCCCATAGTGCTTAGAAGGAGTCCATGCTTGGTTTAATGCTCTGCTGTCACCACTGAAATTCTTAAAAATTACGGAGAATTCTTAATAATCAATGCACAAATTAGGCATTTAACATGTGTTTATTGAATGAAGGAATGAATGCCTGGCATTCATTAGGTGGTCAGTAAATGCAGGTTAAGTGGGCGTATCAGGAGGGACTATTGTCCTAAGTCTTCAACTTCAAAAATAAAGAAGAGGGAGTGGGGTCCTGCCACCTCGCCCCCTCCCCTACTTCCCCCAGTCTTCACACCTTTCTAGGCCCCTGCTGAAGTGTGGGTAGGACTTGTTTATTTCAAACTGCTATTTATTTTTTTCTCTTCCCATGCCATGGAAAATTCCTGGCATCAGGCAGCCTCAGAGCAACACTATTTTTATTTCCCCAGCGAAATAATTAAATTTAGGCTCAGTTACTTTTCCCTAGTAGAGAGGCTGTGGGCAAAATGGGATGAAAAGGCTGCTGCAGAGGGCTGGTTGCGATGGGTTCCAGAGAGGCTAGGCACCATGATCTGAGACACACTTAACCATGGAGCCACACGGGAAGGAGGTAGCGAAGGCTTTGTAAAATCACTCAGTCAGACCTTTCTGCTGAGTAGGACAACCACAAACATGTCTTAGAATCTTAGAGCTGGATGGAGCTGTAGGAATGATCTAGACCAGGGGTCAGCAAACTATAGGTCAAGGGCCAAATCTGGCCCTGCTGCCTGATTTTGTAAATAAAGTTTCATTGGACCGTAGCCATGGCCATTCATTTGCGTGTCGTCTATGGCTGCTTTCATGATACAGCAGAGTGAAGATGCCGTAACAGAGACCATATGGCCTGCAAGCCCAAACATACTTATTGTCTGGCCCTTTGTAGACAAAATGTATTGACCACTGACCTAGACAAGGAACGCTCACAATGTGTTATGTGGAAACTACTAGTCTTTCAGGATGCTCTATACAAAAGTATGCTGTGGTCAAATATCTTTGGAAAATGCACAAACCTTATCTCCCCTCTTGAAACTTCACAGACCCCATCACCCTACTGCAGCAGCCCCTGTCCATGCTGTGCCCACATGCACTGCACACTCTGCTTACTGTACGCACCTGTGGCTCTTGCCCTAGGTTCTTGTTCTGTTATTTGTTGTCTTTTCCTCCCGATCCAGGGCGCAGGGCAAGCTGGAAGCACTGGAGAGTCAATGACCTTGAAAGCAGACATCAATCAACGATAGACACTATAAGGGAGAGAATTCCTCAGCTTCCTTGCCTGTTGGTTGGGAAAACTCTGAGGCATGATCTACACTGTCTCCTAGAGCTCACCTGAGGGACCAAGACCCCGCTGTCCACGGGGATCAACCTGCTCATTAACGCACCTTTAGTGACTGTCCTCACTTCCCCTAGCGGAGTTCTTTGAAATCACCTCCCAAACAAACGAATTCTATTCTGATTCTTAGTGTGCTTCTGGTGGAATGCAAACCAAGATACCTACTAATTAAAGGCTCTGAGAAGTCCTGTAGTAAACATATACATATCTTCTTAATTTGGCCCTCAAGGCTTTTTTTTTTTAAAATCTGGCTTCTATCCAACTTCCCAGCCTAATTTTCCTCAAATCTCCCCCACTCATCTCAAGCTTTTTCTTTTTTCCTATTTTTCTTCTTTTTATTTCATTTATTTATTGAACCTATTCCGCTTAAATACATATATACGTTGACAGCAGGAATTTTGTTTATCTTCAATACCTATAATAATGCCTGGCGCATAATAGATATTCAATAATATATTTTGAAAGAATGAGTAAATGAATGAATATTATAAAATATTCAGCTGAGTTGACATCTAGGTTCTGTGTACAACTATGTGTGGCCAATTTAAGGAAATATTTACTTATAAAAATAAAGTATAATTCCATTTTCATATTTATAATCTTCATAGACTTTTTTAATGTAGCTCACAATACTTTTGTTTCCACTATGAATAGGAAAGTCTTCTTTCTTTTTTTAAAAAATTTATTTTTTTATTAGTTTTCTATTTTATACATATTAGTGTATATATGTCACCCATCTCAAGCTTTTTTTCAATTTCTTGAACCCACCATATTCTTAATGATGTTATTCTCTTTCCTCATTGCCTTGCTAACACCTACTCACCTTTAAGGCTTTAAATACAATGTCATGTCATCCTGGAAGTCATCCAAAAAAAAAAAACTTAACCAGGACTAGGTGTTCCTGCTGGATATTCCTGGACTTCCCGTATCACGGTGTTTACCGAGCCACGCAATTCCCAGTTTGGTCTACCTTCCCTCCAAACCATGTAGCTTCATAAGAATAAGAACCATGTCTGTCTTCCTACCCCACTGTATCCCGGAGCCCAGCAGAAGTGCTTCATAAGAATCTGTTGACAGTGTGGATGGACAGTTGAATGCTTCACGTACTCTTTGTGTCGGAGCAGAGGTAGCACACTGGTAGGGTTTGACCAGCCTCTTGGTCAAACTTTAACCTGGTGCCTTTGAGCCCAGCTCTTGACCAGGTCTTTCCTGTGGCCGCCAAGCCCAGGATTAGCAAGTTTAGTGAGAATCCTCCCACTCTTGATATCTAATCAATTTCTTCTTACTAATTTTTCACCTACTCCCTCACTCTGACCATTGCCTCTAAACCCCCGCTTCTCCCTTTTATATTCAGAGTTGAGTTCCATTTCTCTCCCCTATTTGAATAGTTTTGATCAAAATCTTCTTTGCCTGTTTAGGTTAGAGTTGAGCTCAATTCTATATGGAAATCTCCTTTACTGCAGTACCTGGAATAAAATGAGTCAATAAGAGGGAGTATTGATAGAAACCTATTTCCTGTCTCCTTCCCCACCATTCATCTACCACCTACCCAAGTCCCAGGCACACAGAACTATAACCTTTCCCTGCAATTACCACACATGTTCCTGCCTTCATATATATGCTGTCCCTCTTCTTCGAAGAAAGGGAGTATTTCATCTTCTCTGTCTCATGATCTCCAACTGTGAATCATCTCCCAAAGGATTCTAAGGAATAGCTGGAATTATCATTAGCAAGATTTCCCAAGACATCCACATGTACTTTTTGATTACTTACGATGTACGAAAAACTGTTCTCAGTCTCCCAATTCATCCCACCACCACCCCTTGGTATCCCCCTTGGTATCCATAAGTTTGTTCTCTACATCTGTGTCTCTGTTTCTGCTTTGTAAATAAGATTGTCTATACCAATTTTATCAGATTCCACATATATGCGTTAATATACAATATTTGTTTTTCTCTTTCTGACTTCACTCTGCATGACAGTCTCTAGGTTCATCCACGTCATATATACACTATTGATATTATGTATAAAATAGGTAACTAATGAGAACCTACTGTATAGCACAAGGAACTCTACTCAATGTTCTGTGGTGGCCTAGATGGGAAGGAAATCCAAAAAGGAGGGGATATATGTTTATGTATAGCTGATTCACTTTGCTGTACAGCAGAAACTAACACAACATTGTAAAGCAACTATACTCCAATAAGAATTTAAAAAAGAAAAAGAAAAACTGTTCTCAGTATAGGGGTCAGGGGAGGGGTTCTCTCAGTTTGGATTCCACCCCCCCCGCCCCCCCGCAAAGCAGACCGTGAGACAGGAAATTAGGTGCAGGAAGTTTATAGGAAGGCGAGCCTAGGAAGCAAAAGTAAGGAAACTGGGAAAGTGAATTAAGGAAAGGAGGAAAAATAATAAAAGTATATTAACGGGTAATTTACCACTGGAGGCAACTGGGTCTCAGTCTCCCTGGGGACCTTCTGAGAAGCTGTGAAGGACTTGACTCATAATCAAAGGGTGGGGAGGCTTTGAGGGTTTAGTCATTGATTTTCCTCCTCATTGGCTGAGAGTTGCCTCTAGGGGTTTTAACTCTCCACGTGCCCATATGTCCCCTGCCGGCTATAGAGCAAGCTCCCAGCGCTCCAGAGAAGAAAGATGTGTGTACCTGAGGTAGGAAGTTGTCAGCGAGCTGGAGATAGTCTCCTGAGGTGACAGGGGGACTCAGATGTGCTGAGAAGATACGTGCTGGGCATCAGCGTCATCCGCTACATAGTGACATTCAAAATCTATGACTCGTATGACATCAGCCCAGAGCAATGGGCATAGATGCTGATCGTGAATGTGTGCTGTGTACTTGCCAACGAGTACAATCAACCCATCCTCGTAAGGATACAGACACGCGTAAGAGTCTTAGTTCTCAGGCTGAGATGCTCCAGGCACAACTGACATGATTTCTCAGGTCATCTTTCTCAGGAAGAGTGATGACCTCCTCTTCCTGAGGTTTTGCATCAGCCCCCAAGCAGCTCAGGACAGTTGAAATGAAGATCAGAACTGACATCATACGCAAGTTGGCTTTGTGTGTGGCCTCAGGGTGCTGACAAAAGCCTCCCATTCCTCTGAGCCCGATCACCTGCCTCGAGCTTAATTTCAAAGGGGTCTCCTGGTCAAGAAACCGCAGTTCATTCCCACATGGTCACCCAGAGATTAGAAGTAATTTCCATTCTTCACCTCTCTTCCCTTTCTGATTTCAGGGAGCGGGTGGGCGGAGGGAATCCAGCGTGGACAGCTCATGAGTCATAAGCCCCGTTGCTCTGCCATTTAATGTCTTCACTATTCCACACATGCCTTGCAGGGGGAATCGAAGCTCTTTCCTTGAAGACCAAAGTGTCAGAGAAATCGAAGTTCTCCTTTTCCCACTTTTAATTTCATCATCGATTTTCATGAAGCCCTTCAGAGTCTCCCAATACCTCCAGCTTTCTTTCCTTCAAAGAGAGAGATTTAGAGAAAGCAGCCAGTTCCCAGCTTTCACAGGCCACTAGCGATGTGGCTGCCTTGCGAGCAGATCAACCCAGTCCTGATCCTGAGGCCTCCATCTCTCTCCCTGGTGAAGGGTCCAAAGCTTTCCCAGGATTAACCTGTCCCACTGTGGGCTGCAAATCTGTTTGAGGTCAAAGCGTACTCTTAAGGTAAAAAAGGACAAGAAACTATAATGAGAAACAGATGAGGCCAGTAACATTTCTTGGAATATAAAGACAAATCATTGCATTTTGAAAAAGCTTCATCTTATAAATAAAAATGTGCCTTTGGACCTGGCTGAGGTCCCATAACAGATAAGACACAGAAGGAGCTGGAAGTGCACTTGAGGCTCTGCCCCCAGATAATCACAGATGGAGAGCGGTTCTGGGCTCTGAGCTCCACTGTCTTGATGGATTGTCCACTCTGTGTGGGCTTTATTGGCCCCTAGACAATGGGGATGTTTCACTCTCTGTGTCTTTGATCTCGACAATACACTTTGCACGGCTGATTTGCTGGTTCTGAGCTAAGCTAAAGCGAAAGCAATCTTAAACTGAGTATAAATCTTCATTCTTACCGATTTTTAAAGCTAGCACAGCCTTTGTCATCAGACCCAGTGTGCTCACCTACCATTAAAGCACACCATGTTTTCTTTTTTTTCAGCAAGACATTAAGCTGTGTCCAAGCAAATAACTTCATGTTCCCGTTTTCCACCTCTTCTGTTTGAGAAGGACTCATTCATTAATTTTTTTTGTTTCATACTCATCAAGCACCCCCTATACTCTAGGTGCTGTTCTAGGTGTTGAGGATACTGTATAAGCCTGGCAGGGCACTTACTTTTAAAGATGTTACTTACAAGCCAGTAAATGGCCACATGAATTGTGTGACTTATGTGGCACTTTCAAAACTTATATAAAGCATAGTTACATGTTTTTAATCTACAAAGCATTGAGAAATCATCAGCTTTATTTTTTTTAAAATCTATGTCTTTTTTCTCTGGGACATCTCTTGCTTACGGACGTTTA